CCCCAAAACCCCAAAACCCCAAAACCCCAAAACCCCAAAACCCCTCAAATTTAGAGGAGAAAGAATTATTATTTTTAAATTAAAATGCAGCCAAAGGATATACAGAGTTCGGAAGTACATAATATTCATGAGTCTCAAATTGTCCCTAAACGTCTTGATGAAGAGCACAAGGCTACAAAAACTTTTCAACAATCTTTTATAAAGATGCCAAGATTTGAAGACTCGTATTGATTAATTTAACAAACTTGAGCCAATTGTTAAATCTCTAAATTTTGCCAGACAAGAATCTGATACGAATCTCACCTCTTTATTGGTTACTAACGAAAAGATTTTATTTTATCAGATAACTCAAGCAGAAGAATTACTCTCTGAGATCACACAGGAGGCCACTCAAGCTGACTGAGGAAGCATGGTTGAACATGATTCCATCCTGAAAACTAAAATTAAACACCTCAAGAAGCTTTTGAATGTCCTCCTGGAAAAGAGTTGGAGAAGGAAGAAATACAAGACTGCTAGAGGCACCAAGCCGAGTCAAGACACAGGTAAATCTCTTTTATTGGTAATCACCAATCTAACAATTTTCTTGCTAAAAGCCAAATGAATGGAAGATAGGGCTTCAAACTTTGGAGCCCTTATGACATTTAAAGTCGTTTGAATAATATCGTAGTGGAGGCATTATTCCATAAACAACACATATTTTTCTAATTTGTTTAGAATACGACAAAGTAGTTGAAATAAGTTTGAAATTGGAGAGAGTTGCATGAACTCAACATCAAAAAGAAGTCGAAATGCGGAAAATAAAGATTTGGCATGATGTTTATAAGACCTACACAGAAAAACAATCCTTATTTGGTCTAGGTCCCTTTCTAGATCACAATATTAGAGACCCTATGAATTTCCAAATGCTTAAAAAGATGCTAAATGTGGCTCTTCCTTCTACTAGAATAGTTCTCTTGTCAATTTTTTATTGCAAAAACAAAAGAAATTTCAATTCCTTCAGAGGATGGTTCACTCCTACAATAAACTTTTTGACTCTGTATTCGAAAGATCTGACAGATGTAGGTGGATTACTCCTGAGAATTTCAAAAATCTCCCACAGAATTTTGGAAAATATAACTCTTGATTCTTTTAAAATCAGTGGATCCCAGCTGAAGAGATTTTTCATGCTAGTCAAGCACGTTAAGTGTGTCAGGATTTGATTCTGTAAACTCAACTTTACAGAAGTCATCGATCTTGATACATGCTTAAAAGGAACTACAATAAGAAAGCTATTAACTACTCAATTAGCTAGGAGTGATTATAGTGACTGGGAGAATAAACCTGAAGGCTTCTCCAATTTTATTGAGAGTCTGTCCAAGTCGGATTTAAAGATTTCATTACAAACAATTTGCATTGGAGAGGATTCTCTTAGAAAAGCCTTTATCGAGCAAGTCTTGGCTGGAAGTGAGCTTAGTCATGTTGATCTTAATATGGAATAACTCAATACCCAGATGATTAATTCCATCCAAGAACCTTTATACTATGGTAAAACATTCAAATCGAGTTTGACAAAGTTTCAACATGATGAATTCATTCTGGGGTTTTGGGGTTTTGGGGTTTTGGGGTTTTGGGG